AGATGTTCAATCTCATTACCCATTAGAGAAATACGAAGCAAAACCACAGTGAAATCAATGAGATACCATAGAACACTTATCAGAATGACTAAAAAAAATACAGACAATACCTGAATACAAAAATACAATTTAACTAGATCTCTAATATATTAATAGTGGGAATACAAAATGATACACCCACTCTGGAAAGTAATTTGGCCGTGCATTGATAACATTAAACACACACTTACTACGTGGCCCAGAAATCACACTCCTAGATATTTACCTTGAATAGTGGTTGGCAAACTACTTCCACCGGTCAAATCCATCTTTTCTTTTAAGAGTGTGGTACGTCCGGGCATGGTGGCTCACGCCTGTAATTCCAGCACTTTGTGAGGCCAAGGCAGGCAGATCATGAGGTCAGGAGATCAAGACCATCCTGGCTAACATGGTGAAACTCTGTCTCTACTAAAAATCCAAAAAAAAAATTAGCCAGGCGTGGTGGCGGGCGCCTGTAGTCCCAGCTACTTAGGAGGCTGAGGCAGGAGAATGGCATGAACCCGGCTGGTGGAGCTTGCAGTGAGCCAAGATCGCACCACTGCACTCCAGCCTGGACGACAAAGCCAAACTCCCTCTGAAAAAAATAAAAATAAAAAATAAAAGAGTGTGGTACACATCCACATTCATTCATTTACATATTATCTCTGCCTGTTTTTACACTATAACAGCAGAGTTGAGTGATTGCAACAGAGACCACAAAGTCCACAAATCCTCATATATTTACCATCTGAGAGCCAGGCATGGTGGCATGCACCTATAGCCCCAGCTACTCTGGAGGCTGAGGCAGGAAGAGCACGTGAGTTTGGGGCTGTAGTGCACTATGATCACACCTATGACAGCTACTGCACTCCAGCCCAGACAACACAGTGAGACCCCGTGTCTTTACAAGACAGAACAATTACCATCTGGCCCTTTGTAGACAAAGTTTGCCAACCTCTTCCCTAGAGAAATGAAAATTCATATTTACAAAAAAATATATGTACATGGATGTTTATAGCACATCTGTTCATGATCGTTAAAAACTGGAAACAGCCTAAACATCATTCAACTAGTGAATGGATTTATAAACTGTAGTCCATCCATAAAATGGATATTATAGCAATAAAAATGCACCAACTATTAACACAGGCGACAACTTGGATGAATCTCAGAAACATTTCGGTGAGTGACAGGAGTCTGTTTCAAAAGGTCACATGCTGTGTGATTCCATTTATAATACTTTTGTGAAGATAAAACTATAATGATAGAGAACAGACCAGTGGTGTCCAGAGGCTACAGGTCAGGGGGAAATGTGACTACGAAGGCAAGTATGATGGAGTTTTGTGGGATGGTAGGGACAGTTTCCTGACTGGTGGTGGTTACACTAACCTATACATCTGCTAAAACTCACAGACCTGTAGACCAAAAAAGTACATTTTAGCATATATTAAATGTTTAAAGCAGGTGGAGTACTGCTATCTCCCATGAGGCATGTACAAGACCTTTAATAATCTTTTTAGTTCCTAATGAATAATAAATAATACGGCAATCTTGGCCAAGTATTTAATATTTCCTAAGACATACCTCAAGGATATCGGTAAAAACGCAAAACACACCAACTTGCTAATCCAGTAATGAAAGCAAAAAATTATTACTTCGCTAAATGAATAGTCTTAGAATGAGAGTCTGTTCAGAGCAGAATTCCTGATGCTGCAGATTGTTCATCCCCTCTCTGGTTAGGTTACACATGCAGGCTTCCACAAATGGGCCATAGCAGACTATGCCAGGGGCCCAGCTCATGCCATCAAGTGTCAAAAAGGACATGCTTTATTCTCTGAGAGTTTATCTCTGACTGTGTGATGAACACACAGGGGAAGCTAAACAACTGGACCAAAAGGGGTTGAGTTTGCAGAGTGGTCCCCCCACCCCCATGAGGGTTTGAAAAGCCTGTTTGCACGATAGATACCAACAGCTAACAGGTCAGCCCGAGAGTAAGATGAGAATCGAAAATGGGTCTGAGCTCCAAGGAACCAGGGGCAAGCAGGTCCTTTCCTAGCCCCGGAGGAGAGAAATAACAGAGAGGGGGAGAAGAGAGACACACTTTGAAAGTGAAAGACAACAGCTTCCAAAAATAGGAAGCCCTGAATGTTCTTGAAATGAAAGAGAACAGTCAGAACCTTCTCACAGGTGTTTATTTGCTCCAGAATATTGATTTTGTACTTGTAGCTAGGAGCAGGCACAAACTCAGCTAGAGGCACTACCTGTGGTATTTAACCAGGCAATCTCCCTTTCTTCTTGTTCCAATCACTGCCCTTTGCCCTTCTTTGCTGGCTCTCCGATCCCTCCGGGCGCATGCGTGTGCACACACAGGCATGTAGCTCCCCACCGCAGCCCCAGCATGTGCTCTAGCACTGCTTTAAGGCATTCTTTTCCATTGTGTTCCCTGACCTCTGTACCCCAGCTCCCCCCATTTTTTGGCTCACATGGTAGGACCTGGCCTCCCACTTTATCTAGTTTCTTCCCCAGGAATAGAGATGGGACAACAGCAAACACTTTGCGGAGAGAAAATCTGCCCAGAGACTTTGTCTCTGCTAAGTTAGACGCACATTTTTTTCTAGCTTGAGACATAAGCCAGGGTGGATGACATAGTGAATGACAATTGAACTTTCACTTCAACCTGAGGATGAGCTTCACAATATACCATTTGCCATATGAAGAACTTATCTCATAATCGTGTTTGAAAGTCCTGGGAATACATTTGAAAAACTGATGTTGTCTTGTGGATGCTAAATATCCCAGTAAGCTCAGGGTATCCAAACCAACTCCGTGAATCAGGGCATCTGCAGAAGGCAGCAATGAGAATGGCTGCCCCTTGCTAAAGGGGAAGATGGAGTGCCCCACACCAAGTACGACAGGACTTAGAGTGTAAGGAGTCTTTGCACCAGACACTGTGCTAAGCATTTATGTGTCTGACAGTTCAAACACATTCAGATGTTCAACAATACATCAGGAAAGTAATATTACTCCCATTTTACAGGGAAGAAAACTAAGGCTTACAATGTTTTATATATGTGTATATACTTTTTTTTTCTTTTTTTTTTTTTTTGAGATAGAGTCTCGCTCTGTCGCTACGCTGGAGAGCAGTGGCACGATCTCGGCTCACTGCAACCTCCACCTCCCGGGTTCAAGTGATTCTCTTGCCTCAGCTTCCTGAGTAGCTGGGATTACAGGTGCCTGCCACCACACCTGGCTAATTTTTGTATTTTTAGTAGAAACAGGGTTTCACCATGTTGGCCAGGCTGGTCTCAAACTCCTGACCTTGTGATCCATCCACCTCAGCCTCCCAAAGTTCACAGGCCAGAATAACTGGACCCTTGGGGAACACAGCCACCTCAAAAGAAAGACAACTAGAGAGCACTTGCCAAAGTATGGGAACAAAATAAGAAATCGCATGCCATCCAAATGAAGTATGAAAGATAGAATAGTAGAAGTACACAGCAGATCAGATACATAGTAGAATAGCTACATCTTAAAAACAAGTTATTAATGAAGGAAAGATCAGATGGAGGAATTCTTGCAGACAGAGGGATAGCAGGAAATGATTTAAAAAGATGGGAAATGTAGAAGCAAAGCCGAGGTAAGTAGAAAGTGTAACGTTAGCCTAGAGAAAGGATGAGAAGACCTAAAGTCAGGCAAGCAAATTTATTAACCTGCCGGGCTGCTCCTTAACAGTCAGAGGAGGCAGCACCTGAGCTTACAGGCTAGGGGGTGTAAGTATTTTCTGGAGAGGGTGTGGGGGTGTTTAGGGGCTTTGGGGGTGTGTCTACATCTGCAATTGTCAGTTCTTGCCTTACTTGGCTCAGGGTATCAGGATATGGTTTAGCCTGGGAGTGGTTATAGCTGTACCTGTCATTCTGGGAACTTGGGGCAGGGGCAACTTTTTGGAAGAAATATAAACTGCAGGGCATTTAGGGGAGGGGGCTTGTTGCATTCTTTTGGGGTCCTTAACATTCCAGCCTTTTAGTAGGTAACAGAAGAGGGGCACCGTTGTCATCCGGCTGCTTCCTGCTGGGTAGGGACGACGGTTAGTGGGAGAGGCTGGATGGTAGGGACTGCCATTCCTGGAGCTGTCGGTGTCCTTGGAGTAGCATCATGCCCTGTACTGTTCCATGGGTGAAGGCTCTAATACCATCTCGTAAAACCTGGGTAAGGAGACGTAAGAGGCAGGGGCCAAATGCTAAAAGGAGATAAACGGTTATGGCAGGGCCTAGGAGGGGCAGTAGCCAGGGTGCCTAGGAATTACAAAACTACTGGGACCAGGACTCTGAAAGGCATTGACTGATTTTAGAAGCTTTTTTTTATTATTATTATTATACTTTAAGTTCTAGGATACATGTGCATAACGTGCAGGTTTGTTACATATGTATACTTGTGCCATGTTGCTGTGCTGCACCCATCAACTCGTCAGCACCCATCAACTCGTCATTTACATCAGGTATAACTCCCAATGCAATCCCTCCCCCCTCCCCCCTCCCCATGATAGGCCCCGGTGTGTGATGTTCCCCTTCCGGAGTCCAAGTGATCTCATTGTTCAGTTCCCACCTATGAGTGAGAACATGCGGTGTTTGGTTTTCTGTTCTTGTCAGGAAACAACAGGTGCTGGAGAGGATGTGGAGAAATAGGAACACTTTTACATTGTTGGTGGGACTGTAAACTAGTTCAACCATTGTGGAAAACAGTATGGCGATTCCTCAAGGATCTAGAACTAGATGTACCATATGACCCAGCCATCCCATTACTGGGTATATACCCAAAGAAGCTTTTTTATTTAACTGTCAGGCAGCATCTCCTACAATTCCTGACTGGTTAGTATAGAAACAGCATTCTTAAAGAGATGCACAGTCCACCTTTTTCGGCAGCGAGGAGATCTAAACTTTGACGGTTTTGAAGAGTTACTGCTGCTAAAGAGTCTATTTGGACCCCCACTGGCTGCTCTGAAAAGCCATCTTTGCATTGTTCCTCGTCCGCCTCGGCCGCGGGCCTCCTCCGCCGCCGCGGACTCCGGCAGCTTTATGGCCAGAGTCCCTGAACTCTGGCTTTCTTTTAAAATCCCCTGCATCGCATCACCGGCGTGCCCCACCATGTCAGACGCAGCCGTAGACACCAGCTCCGAAATCATCACCAAGGACTTAAAGGAGAAGAAGGAAGTTGTGGAAGAGGCAGAAAATGGAAGAGACGCCCCTGCTAACGGGAATGCTGAGAATGAGGAAAATGGGGAGCGAGAGGCTGACAATGAGGTAGACGAAGAAGAGGAAGAAGGTGGGGAGGAAGAGGAGGAGGAAGAAGAAGGTGATGGTGAGGAAGAGGATGGAGATGAAGATGAGGAAGCTGAGTCAGCTACGGGCAAGCGGGCAGCTGAAGATGATGAGGATGATGATGTTGATACCAAGAAGCAGAAGACCGACGAGGATGACTAGACAGCAAAAAAGGAAAAGTTAAACTAAAAAAAAAAGGCCGCCGTGACCTATTCACCCTCCACTTCCCGTCTCAGAATCTAAACGTGGTCACCTTCGAGAGGCCCGCCCGCCCGCGCACCGTGGGCAGTGCCACCCGCAGATGACACGCGCTCTCCACCACCCAACCCAAACCATGAGAATTTGCAACAGGGGAGGAAAAAAGAACCAAAACTTTCAAGGCCCTGCTTTTTTTCTTAAAAGTACTTTAAAAAGGAAATTTGTTTGTATTTTTTATTTACATTTTATATTTTTGTACATATTGTTAGGGTCAGCCATTTTTAATGATCTCGGATGACCAAACCAGCCTTCGGAGCGTTCTCTGTCCTACTTCTGACTTTACTTGTGGTGTGACCGTGTTCATTATAATCTCAAAGGAGAAAAAAAACCTTGTAAAAAAAGCAAAAACGACAAGAGAAAAACAATCTCATTCCGAGCATTCCAGTAACTTTTTTGTGTATGTACTTAGCTGTACTATAAGTAGTTGGTTTGTATGAGATGGTTAAAAAGGCCAAAGATAAAAGGTTTCTTTTTTTTCCTTTTTTGTCTATGAAGTTGCTGTTTATTTTTTTTGGCCTGTTTGATGTATGTGTGAAACAATGTTGTCCAACAATAAACAGGAATTTTATTTTGCTGAGTTGTTCTAACAAAAAAAAAAAAAGAGTCTATTTGGGATTGGAGAGTAAGGATGGATTTGGCTACGTCTTGTAGGCTGTCTGAGAGATCTTTTGAAAGACAGTGATATAGGACAGGAAGGTGGACAAGCCTGCTAGCTTTGTTCCTATTGCAGTGGCAATTCTTAGTCCTATAAGCAGGGGTATGTACGGCTCTGTGTTGATGGACTTGAGCTTTAATAAGGACTGGTAAACTCTGATTTCCAGGGGCAATGTCAGTTTTGAGGCTTAAGAAGACTAGGGTGCAAGTACCAGTCTAATTCATAGGGAGGCACACATAGATTGAAGTTCCGCACGAGAAAAATATACTTTGGCTGGGCAGACAGAACTGGCTATGTCTTTTAGTAAGGCAAATAGGTGCAGGGAAGAGAAATATGGGCAAAGGAGAAGATACAGGGGGTAGGCACTAATACGGAAAGATTAGTGAAGGGATGTTAGAATTTCTTTGGTTTGTTCTTGGGGGAGGATGAGTTTTTGATTTTTCACTAGCCAGTTTCCTTGGAAGGAAGCTCCTTGTTGTAGTAGCGAAGCTTTTTTGGTGGGAGAATATTGGGGTTGGATTGTGGGAGTAATGAGGAGGGAGGCAGGTGCAGAAGAAAGGGAGAGTTCCTTTGCTACCTTATTGGCCTTTCTGTTCCCTCTTAAGATCTCATCTGATCCTATTTGATGTCCCTGACAGTGTGTAACTCCCACTTTAGTGGGGAGGTTCACAGCCTGAAGGAGTTGGTAAATGAGGGGTCTGTTAGTGATGGGGGTGCCTTTGGCAGTAAGGAATCCTCTCTCCTGCCAGATGGTGGCATGGGAATACAGAATGTGAGGTGTATTTGGAGTCTGTGTAAATATTGGCTCATTTGCATTTGGAAAGAGTTAGGGCCCTAGTGAGGGCTATGAGTACTGCCTTTTGGGAGGAGGTTTTGGGCATAGGGGCCTGGCTTTAATTACTCAGTTAAGAGAAACGACCATGTATCTAGCCACTTTGGGGGAGTCAGTGGGCCCGCAGGAAGAGCCATCTATGAATAGCTGGTCATTGGGGTTGGTGAGAGGCTCAGAGATGTTTGGAAAATGTGGCTGTAGGTAGTCTAGGATGTCAGTGCAAGAATGAGTAGGAGAGGAAGAGGACATGGGGAGTAAGGACACCGGGTTGAGGGGAGCACTTTTGGCAAGACAGAATTCAGGATTTTCAATAAAGAGGGCATGGAGTGATTGGATCCGGGAAGGAGAAAAGGAGCTTAATCCTCCAGAGGAGAGGAGATCTCGTTAATTGTGATGACTGTGGACAGTGGTGTTTTGGCCGAATGTAAGTTTCTTGCTTTCCAGAGCTAAAATGGCCGCTGCCGCTAGTGCTCTAAGACAGGCTGGCCACCTTTTGACTGTGTTGTCTAGTTGTTCAGAGAGGTAAGCTACAGGGGCAAAGGAAGGAGGATTTCTTTCCTGTTGCCCTAACACACCGAGGGATATCCCTTGGCTTTCAGCAGTACAGAGAGTGAAAGGTTTGGAGATATCAGGTAAGGACAGGGCTGGGGCAGTCATAAGAGCAGTTTGGGGCTTGTGGAAACTGAGGAGTATGTTATGTGAGGGGCTCAGGGGTTCATTGAGGGTGGCTTTGGCTGCTTTATAGAGGGGGCAAGCTAGGAGGGCAAAGTTGGGAATCTATATCCTAAAGAAGCCTGTCAGTCCTAAGAGAGAGAGAATTTTACTCTTAGAGGAAGGCGGAGGTAGGCTATCTATTAAGGCTGCCCATGCTGGGGTCATGGCTCAGGCCCTGGGAGAGAGTTGGACTCCTAAGTATGTTACTGTTGGGGTGGAGAGTTGTGCTTTGGAAGGGGAGAACTTATATCCTTTATTAGCAAGAGAGTTTAGAAGGGTAATAGTGTAAGTTTGAGAGTCTTCTAGGGAGGGGCTACAGAGAAGGAGGTCATCCACATATTGAAGAAGACGGTTGGGGTAAAGGTCTAAGGAGGTGAAGTCTCAGGCTAGGGCTTGTTCAAAGAAATGAGGACTATCTCTGAAGCCTTGGGAGAGGACAGTCCATGTGAGTTGTTGTGATTGAAGGGTCTCAGGGTCAGTCCAGGTGAAAGCAAAAAGGTTTTGGGAATCAGGGTGTAAGGGAATGGTAAAGAAGGCATCCTTTAGGTCAATGGCGGTATGGTGGGTACTGTTGGAGGGGACAAGAGAGAGAAGTGTATAGGGGTTAGGGACTACAGGATGAATAGGGACAACAGCCTAATTGATGGCTCAGAGGTACTGGATGAGTTGGTACAAGCCATCTGATTTCTTAACAGGGAGGATGGGGGTGTTATATGGAGAGTGAATTGGTCTAAGGAGACCACACAAGCAGAACTTGTTTATAATGGCCTGTAGGCCTTTTTGGTGGGTGAGAGAGATGAGGTATTGGGGAACATTGGGAAATTTGGAGGGGTCTTTTAATTGGATTTTGATGGGATAATGGTGAGCAGCTAGGGACGGGGTGGTGGTGTCCCACACTACTGGGTTAACAAGAGAGGTGGGAAACGGGTACTGGGGAGAGGATTCAGGGGTCAGACTAGCAGAAAGGAGCAGATGAAAAAAACTCACATAGATAAAAATCTATATGTTTAAGAAAAAGCCAAAAAAAAATTCTAAATGTGGTCATTACTTTAAAACATTGTAGAAAAAGAATTACATCTACTAATACAATTTCTTTTTGTTTTTTTTTTTGTTTTGTTTTGTTTTTTGAGATGGAGTCTTGCTCTATCACCAGGCTGTAGTGCAGTGGCACGATCTCGGCTCAATGCAGCCTCTGGCTCCCTGATTCAAGCAATTCTCCTGCCTGAGCCTCCGAAGTAGCTGGGATTACAAGTCACACGCCACCACACCCAGCTAATTTTTTTTATTTTTAGTAGAGATGGAGTTTCACCATATTGGTCAGGATGGTCTCGATCTCCTGACCTTGTGATCTGCCCACCTCAGCCTCCCAAAGTGCTGGGATTACAGGCGCGAGTCACCGCGCCCAGCCACAATTTCTAAATTGACACAAATTCAGCACAACCCCAGTCAAGCTTAAGAAATCTTAATGTAAAATGTACAGGAAGGAATGAAAGGCTCACAACAACCAAGCCAATCTGAAAAAGCAGCAGCTATGGGACCTGCTCTGCCAGCCAGCAGGACGGCCCCAGAGCAGGACCAATGCCCCCAGGTGGCATGTCACCAGAGTAGACACACAGTCAGGGAACAGAACAGAAAGCCCAAAGACTGGAGGCTGAGTATGTGGAAACTTCATATATGATAAAGTAGCCATCTCAAATCAATGGGAAAAGCACTGGTGGCTAATAGATCATATTTTTAAAATGGCTTTAGCTTAACATATGGAAAAAATAAAGCTGAATTCCAGTCTATCGACTTATGCAAAGGAAGAATCTAGGTAAAGACTAAATGTGAGAGGTAAAAGTGTAGGGATAAGAGTGTATTCCATTCAGTCAGGCAAGTTGGCTCATGCCTGTAATCCCAGCTATTTGGGAGGCCAAGATGGGTGCACTGCTTGTGGTCCGGAGTTCGAGACCAGTCTGCAACATAGTAAAACCCCGTCTCTACTAAAAATACAAAAATTAGCCAGGCATGGTGGCGTGCACCTGTAATCCCAGCTACTCAGGAGGCTGAAGCAGGAGAATCACTTGAACCCAGGAGATGTAGGTTGCAGTGACCCAAGATGGTAGCACTACAGTGCAACCTGGGTGACAGAGTGAGACTCCATCTCAAGAACAAAAAAAAGTGTATTCCATTCAAAAAGATGATAACCTGTTTTTGTAACCTAACGACAAAAGAGATTTTTAAAGCAAAACTTCAAACACACAAAACATGATGCAAAAATACTTAACGAATACATCAATATTAAAATTTTCTGTTTAGCAACAAGCACCATGAAAAATGTTCATAGATGACAGAATGGAAAAAGTTATTTGTGATGTCTAAAACTAAAAAGGGAGAATATTCAGAATGCACAAAAAATTCTCAAATCAGCAAGGAAAAGATAATAATCCAGAGAAATGGACAAAGAAGACCTAGGGAAAGGCAATTTTCAGAAGATAAAACCCCCAAAATGAACAAGCCTTTGAAGAGATGCTCAAAATAATGAATAAGAGTAAATACAAACGAAAAGAATGAGCTATAACTTTGTATCTGTTAAGCAAAAGTTAGGAAGCCAGGTAATACCCTGCTGGTGAACTGTAGACAAGCACAGCAATTCAGAAGAGCACTCTGGCAATGCTTAATCGAAATAAGTAAACAAATATTATTTGACCCAGAAATTCCACCTGTAGCTACATACTCCAAAAACACGTGTAAGCAGTTCCGTAAGACAATATGTACAAAAATATTCATATTCATGTTTTCTGCAGCCTTATTTGTGCTGGATGGGAGTTGAAGGTTGTCTGGGTTCCCACTGCTAGGAGAATAAATAGGTAAAAAATGTAGTGGATGCACATCTTGGGATATTAGAAAGCAATTTGCTAGAAGCAACAGGTTTATACTGGTGTGCAGGTATCTTTAAAATATTGTGCTTAAAGGAAGAAAGTAAACAAATGGCTAACCTAACAAATGACTAAACCTAACTCAATACAATTTATATAAATTTAAAAATACACGCACTCAAAATAAAAATATTCATTGTTCAAGAGGACATGCAAACCAAAAGATACAAGTTCAGTGTCATGAATTCTAACAGGAGGAGAGAGATGAGAGATGGGACCGGTACCAGTCCACGGCCTGTTAGGAACAGGGCCACAAAGCAAGAAGCAGGCAGCATGTGAGTGAGTGAAGTTTCATCTGTATTTACAGCCTCCCTCCATCACTCACATTACTGCCCGAGCTCCACATCCTGTCAGATCAGCAGTGCCATTAGATTCTCATAGGAACACAAACCCTATTGTGAACGGCACATGCAAGGGATCTAGGTTTCACGCTCCTTATGAGAATCTAATGCCTGATGATCTGTCACTGTCTACCATCCTCCCT